CTGTTAAAAGTATGTATTTTCTATATAAACTTTCTATTCGTTCGTGGGGCAGTAGACTTTCTTCGGGGGCTCAAGGTGTGTCCATGTCAACTTTCGTGGTCTCAAGGTGTGTCCATGTCAACTTTCGTGGGCTCAAGGTGTGTCCATGTCAACTTTCGCGTCGAATTCAGCATTCGGGCAGTTTCTGGCGATCTAGGCCAAAGACACGGCAAGTTTCAATGACAAGTTTTAGTAGCTGTCATTGAATCTTGCCACGACAATGTCTCGTAGGTTTTAAATTCGTTCTTCAGTGATTGATTTTCTACCTGGGTGTTACCCTCGGCACTGAAGAAAAATAGCAGACGAACAAAACTTGTTTGTTAGACGACCACGTCTGACGTATAAGCAGTCTTAAGGCCGTCTCATTCTTTACGTTTACGATCACAACCAATAGCTCGACGTCACCCGATCACAAGGACATACCTGGGATCGAGACCTGGCTAGGCGTGTCTGGTACACGTGACCAAAAGGGATGGAAGTACGGGTTGGCCTCAAAGTACCAGGTATCTCACATGAAGTTTCCATGGGGTATTGTTAAAATGGTATAATTTAAGCTTGACTCGACAGTGTGTAGAAAGTGGTAGTCTTGACCACTGCTACCATCTTCTGCTGTATTCTGCTATTTCTAGAATATCTTACTATCTTCTTCTTTCTTCGGCTATCTTATTAACATATTGACTGAGTTTATATTTTGTTTTTAAAAAAAAATAAAAAAATATTTAACCTTATTTTAAAAAATATTTATTAGTTGCTTTAACTTATAATAAAAGTATTTTTTTTTTAACATTTCGGACACATTTTGTAATGAATACACTATAATGTTATATCAGACATTATGATTCATTATATGCTGGACCCCAACTGTAGACCCGTCGTGTGCTCTACACAAGAACCGTGACGTTGAGTTCACACAGGAACAGTGTCCTCATGTCGCAGCCTGCGTCGATCAGGAGGGGGAAATAGGGGTGGGAACTGACACACCTCTCTGTGTTGTAGCCGTTGTTGGGATCGCCTAGACACAAATGTACACAAAAAATTACATTTTCTAAGTAAACTATAAGGCAAGCACAGTGAAGATACAGACCTTCATGAACAAATGCCTTAGATTTTGAAATTGAGATGGCAGGACAAAGTGCCGAACATAGAATTGTGGAGAAAAAAAAAACACAGGAGCCTATGACTGTGCAAATAAGAAGGAGGAAGCGGCGCTGGGTGGGACACGCGCTGCGAAAGGCTCACACAAATGTGACACGCCTAGCGCTTGAGTGGAACCCCCAGGGAAAGCGGAACAGAGTCCGCCCAAGACAGACCTGGAGTCTTCTCGAAGAACTGAAGCCAACAAGGATGTCTTGGGTAATTGCGAAATTAATAGCAGGGGGTCGGATGAAATAAAAGGAAATGGTGGAGGCCCTTTGTTCCATAAGGAGCAAAGAGGACTTAATCAAGTCAACAAAACATGTTGGTGAAAAGCATCACAAAACTGGTCAAAATATTATTTTTTTTAAAGTTGACCATTTAAATTAGCCTTTTAATTTTTTACTACAGTACATTAGTGTCAACTTATTCGTTTATACTACAACAAAATTGTAAATAATAAAATAGAAGTAAATAAAAAAAAATTCATAAAAAACGTTTTAATAACAAGCTTTTATGTAATGATGCACTAAAAAGTAGAAAATAAATTATAGACTACTATTTAAATAACTATAAAGAAAAGCGTGGGTCACTTTAGTATCTATTGGATACCTTTACTAATGTTAAGGAAGACACCCACGCTTTTCTTTATAGTTATTTAAATAGTAGTCTATAATTTATTTTCTACTTTTTAGTGCATCATTACATAAAAGCTTGTTATTAAAACGTTTTTTATGAATTTTTTTTTCAGTACTTTACATGTTTTATCTACAATAGAGTTACATGACTAAAAACCATTGCGCGCCTACTGAATATCACGTTCAGTAGGCGCGCAATGGTTTTTGAACGCAGCCATTACGTGGTCGTGATGGCGCAGCTATTGAAGGTGATGACGCGTGTGGTGTGGTTGGCTAGACATGCCTACTAATTCGGTCCAAATTTTAATTAATTCATAAAAAATCAATTAGGCATCCAATTAAGTCAAATTTAGTTTCAGATTGCATTGTCTTCATGTCTTGACCCACGTGCCAACTGTGAATCGTGTCGGTCAAGTAGAACTGTCCGAATTTTCACTCCTGCGTTTCCGTCTAGACTGACGACTGACGACAGACTGACGAGGAAGTGAGTTAAATAAAAGCTTGTAAAAAAATTCATAAAAAACGTTTTAATAACAAGCTTTTATGTAATGATGCACTAAAAAGTAGAAAATAAATTATAGACTACTATTTAAATAACTATAAAGAAAAGCGTGGGTCACTTTAGTATCTATTGGATACCTTTACTAATGTTAAGGAAGACACCCACGCTTTTCTTTATAGTTATTTAAATAGTAGTCTATAATTTATTTTCTACTTTTTAGTGCATCATTACATAAAAGCTTGTTATTAAAACGTTTTTTATGAATTTTTTTTCAGTACTTTACATGTTTTATCTACAATAGAGTTACATGACTAAAAACCATTGCGCGCCTACTGAATATCACGTTCAGTAGGCGCGCAATGGTTTTTGAACGCAGCCATTACGTGGTCGTGATGGCGCAGCTATTGATGACGCGTGTGGTGTGGTTGGCTAGACATGCCTACTAATTCGGTCCAAATTTTAATTAATTCATAAAAAATCAATTAGGCATCCAATTAAGTCAAATTTAGTTTCAGATTGCATTGTCTTCATGTCTTGACCCACGTGCCAACTGTGAATCGTGTCGGTCAAGTAGAACTGTCCGAATTTTCACTCCTGCGTTTCCGTCTAGACTGACGACTGACGACAGACAGAATGACGAGGAAGTGAGTTAAATAAAAGCTTGTAAAAAAAAATTCATAAAAAACGTTTTAATAACAAGCTTTTATGTAATGATGCACTAAAAAGTAGAAAATAAATTATAGACTACTATTTAAATAACTATAAAGAAAAGCGTGGGTCACTTTAGTATCTATTGGATACCTTTACTAATGTTAAGGAAGACACCCACGCTTTTCTTTATAGTTATTTAAATAGTAGTCTATAATTTATTTTCTACTTTTTAGTGCATCATTACATAAAAGCTTGTTATTAAAACGTTTTTTATGAATTTTTTTTTCAGTACTTTACATGTTTTATCTACAATAGAGTTACATGACTAAAAACCATTGCGCGCCTACTGAATATCACGTTCAGTAGGCGCGCAATGGTTTTTGAACGCAGCCATTACGTGGTCGTGATGGCGCAGCTATTGATGACGCGTGTGGTGTGGTTGGCTAGACATGCCTACTAATTCGGTCCAAATTTTAATTAATTCATAAAAAATCAATTAGGCATCCAATTAAGTCAAATTTAGTTTCAGATTGCATTGTCTTCATGTCTTGACCCACGTGCCAACTGTGAATCGTGTCGGTCAAGTAGAACTGTCCGAATTTTCACTCCTGCGTTTCCGTCTAGACTGACGACTGACGACAGACAGAATGACGAGGAAGTGAGTTAAATAAAAGCTTGTAAAAATAGACCCGCGTTCCCCGTGGATCAATGTTTTTAGAAGTGAAGTAAAACAGAAGTATACCTTGCGCATTCCTTGGATTGCATTTTATAAAATTGTTCTTTATAAAAGTAAACTACTGATACGAACATGCATTTCGTGTTTCATTTAAGCTTTTCTTAGAACATTTCCGAAAAAAAAATATTTTTTAAGAATATCAAACTTTGATGTAACTGGTAAAATAATTGTCACCGTAATGGGAAAAGAAAGTGTATTATCTTCACGGCTAATCATTTGTAATTAAAATACGTTATATCTTATGTTAACATCTGCACATTACATTACCTGGACTGAATATTGTTGGTTTCCAGTTGTATACGGTGTTGTCGTCATCCCAAATAAACTCGTAAGCTTTAGCCATGTCGTTGAGGCCGACCCAGACACAAACCGATGTCTTCCGTGAGATGGTGAGGAACAGGTTCAGTTTATCCAGGGTCTTCGGTGTGTATAGATGGGCTCCCTTGGCTACAGAAAACACAAGTTGCAGTCCTAATCATTTTCGTGAACTTTAAAAGAATCAAATTCTAAATTATCCATATCAGTTGGTATGTCAATAATTTAATTAATTAAAAGTTAAGTGATCGCTCATACATGGCGTTATGCATGTAAGTTGTCAAAAGGCAGACAGCGAAAAGTTCGAAGGTAAAAAGCCTCCCTAAAACGACTTCACTAATATCATGTCCCACCCCAACCTGCAAAATGGGTGTAGGACAAAAGGCCGACATCCAAAAGACCCACAAGAAAAAGACCGGCATAGCATAAGGCCGACAGGACATAAGCCCGACAGCCAAAATGCAGACAGCCAAAAGTCTTTAAAAACGCTGATTTCTTCTTCTTCGTTCTTAATTTTAATGTTGAAAAGGATTTCCTCCAACATAATTAAGTATTGCGTGTCAACTTGTTATGCGCAATATAATTTATACAGTTGACTCCGATTTCAGCCTGCTTTTATTTTTGGATGTGCTTCCATAGCCCTTGTCCAACCAAGAACAAACTACAAGGCAACGGTTGTTTGATTTTGGGGTTGTCTCTCCTTGACGGGTTTCTGTCACCACCTATTAAGCCACATAAAAGCTAGACACACCAACAATAATCTAATTATATTTTATAACCTTAAATCTATAGACTAAACAGTAGAAATAAAAATAAAACAACCTTTACAATCGTCCCTTGCTGACGTGAAGTTTAGTGAGTAGGTTGATAGCCAGACGTATGTGACCGTTGTCCCAGTGGACATCATCTTAAATGTTAAGTCTGTGTTTGTGTATAGAACAGCTTCTTTTCTTACAAGTGACGTTGTCAGTAATATCAACCAGGTCCCTATAGATACACACACACATATATATATATATATATATATATATATATATATATATATATATATATATATATATATCTATATATATATATATATATATATATATATATATATATATATATATATATATATATATATATATATATATATATATATATTTATATATATATATATATATATATATATAGGCCTATATATATATATATATATATATATATATATATATATATATATATATATATATATATATATATATATATATATATATATATATAAAGACTTATATCTGGTTTGAAAAATCGTAAATTATAAAACCATCTAAACAACGGCTAGGGCAACTAACCTAAGGTGCAGATGTGACTGGTTTGGTTGAAGATGAAGCAGTAACATCGTGGTGACCAGTCCTGACACCTCGCTGCACAGGACACGACGCTCCGCTCCGGACTCACGGTTGCTATGGGATACATGGTCATCTTGGTGTTGTTTACAAATTGAAAGTTCATCAAGTTTCCTGACGTCGTTGTCGCTGCTATTATAATAATTATCACAACGTTGCACGGCGTGTTTAGAGAGCTTACGGTATGTATATATATATATATATATATATATATATATATATATATATATATATATATATATATATATATATATATATATATATATATATATATATATATATATAAATGATATCAGGACAAATGATACCATGGACAAATGATCTCAGACAAAATATCCCACAGTAAATTATTTATAGTGTTCAGGATATTATGTATATATATATATATATATATATATATATATATATATATATATATATATATATATATATATATATATATATATATATACACTTAAATAAAAAAACTCGTTACTCATGAAATCCAATCGAACAAACCTTGAAGAATGAAATAAACAGCACAAATGAACACAACAGCCATCCTGTCTACATCAGTGTTAAGATTCAACCTGCTAGTTTCTCTCGTGTAAAACAAATAAAAATATAAAGTAAATTATGTTGATATTTTTATGTCCATGAAATTGTCTATCCTTATTCGTTAAAATTTAAAAAAAAACATTTTATAGTATAGTTATGTGAACAAATTTAAAATTGACACAATTTAAACGAATATCTGACAATGGCATAATAACACGTTTAAAAAAAAAATTAAATACATGTTTCATTTTTATATGTGTGACGTTTAGCGTGTTTAACGGAGATAATTCAAATGATAGAAAAGAATGGGCCTAACTCGTAGCACTTTAACAAAAAAAAATACAATCTTACTTATAACGCCATAAACAAACACCTCTAATCAGTGAACTTACAAATGTTTGATGCTCATAAGGATCGCAACCCAGGCAATAGCTGTATAATATACTTAGCAACACTGTTGATATGCGTGGGTTCAGTAACAGCCATTGATTTGTAGAGCTTGCAGAATGTAGCCGGCAGTGCTGCGGTGTGGCTTATCCAGTCGGTACTCTAATGCGGTTATTTATGGGACGTGGTGGGCCAATAGTAGAGCATTTGATTGCTAATCCTAAAGTTTTGAGTTTGGATCTCGGGCTTTTAGTCCGCACGACGTCCCTGTGTACACCCAGCTTCAATGGGTACCTGACAAAGTAAAGGCGGCAGTGCATAGTGCTAAACACTCTATCCCTTTATATGCCAAGGTGAACAATACTTCACCGCCCCCATACACTGTATGGTTCGAAAGGTTACTTTACGTTGTTTTATTTTAATAAGATTGTATTAGCTACTTCAATTTTAGTGATAAAATGTTTAGAAAAATGTAATGTGAAACGTCACTTAACTTTTTAAAAATTTCATAATTGATGTTAATATCGTTTTTTAATATCCTTTTAATCTAATATATAAAGCTCAGTTCTGTATGTAACGCATATGTTTGTCGTTGGTCTTGGATGGATTTAAGTGTTAGACAATCATCGTGCGCATTTGTCTAAATTTATGAGTTAAAAAATTACTATTGAAAGTGTTGGGAAATAATTTTCATTTTTCAAATTATAGTAATAATTGTCGGCATGTTCATTAAACACAAGTTTTAAAAAAATATCATCTTTTACAATAATTCTAATTATGTCTTTATTTAGTCCTATAGCACTTACTTCCCTTTGATAAATTAGGAAAACACAATTACTTCCCTTTATAAAACCATTGCATTTAGGGGAGAAGAATTTACTTTTTAATTACTTTGTTTTGGTGTTAGGAAAAAAAATAATTACATAATTAGCGGGGATTGATCAAGTGCAAATGTTGTAGGTATTTTATGGATAAGATTGGAGTATTATAATTGTTCATTAAATTGAAACAGGCGCGTTCGTTTAAGTGAGTGCAAAAGACTATGAATAAGTTGGGGTACTATAGTCGTTCATTAAGCTAAAACAGGTGATTCCGCCCCGGGCGTTTATGTTCGCGTTAGTGTTTTCTTTGTGTTTAGGTGGGTTTGCGTTAGTGGTTGCGTTTTGATTTGGTTCGTTTTTGTTCTTTCTTTTTTCGTTTTTGTTTGTGTTTTTTTTGTTTGGGTTTGTATTTGTGTTTTTGGTTGGTTTTGCGTTTGGATTTGGTTTGTTTTCGTTTGCTTTTTCGTTGTTTTTTTTTTTTTTTTTTTTTGTTGGTATTGGTGTTTGTGGTTGGGTTTGTTGTTAGGTTTTTGTTTTCGTTTGCTTTTTTGTTTGTTTTTTTCTTTGTGTTTGTATTGGTGTTTGTGGTTGGGTTTGTTGTTAGGTTTTTGTTTTCGTTTGTATTTGTAATTGTGTTAGCGTTATGTTTGCGTTTTGTTGTTTTGGTTGGTTGTGGTTTGGGTGGGCAATGCCGGGTTTATGATGATTACTAAACACACAGGTAATGGTCTTTAACAGAAAGGTTTTTCACAGAAGCCAGAGCAGGGCCTGGCCGGGACGGCTAGTGTTATATATTTTTACTAGCCTGAAAAAATGAACTGAAAAAATGCGACATTTAAAAACTCACAGTTAATTAAAAAAAAAACTTGAATACAATACAACTTGATAGAAAGTAGATGGAAGAAATTGTACACACGTTTCCCTGTACCAACCTACCTGACATTTTAAGATGGAACCATACACTAACCTGCCTTGTAAACCCGGACCACCTACAAATTCTAATTTTCTTAGCTCATAATTTTGCTTTTTTCAGTACATTGCTGAATCGATTTTTATTAATTAAGCTCAATTTCTAAAAAAAAGTTTTTGTTCCAATAAAATAACAAACAATAACATCTTTTTGATATGGCCTAAAATCGATATTTGGCAGAACAATTGTTGACTTTAGCTCTCAACATCTCCATTGTTTCGCGCCCTGTACTGCGGATATTATGTCCTATCATCTTGATCAGATTTTCAATAATTAATACAACTGTGTGCTATTCTAATAAAACAACTTCTGTTCTGTAATAATATCACCACCATTAATCTACGGATCTATCAACTAGCGCTGCAAGATTGTTTACAAATTCTCCTTTTAAATATTATCAGCCACGAAGCTATGTGAATTATTTGTTTCAGTTTTTGAACAGAAACGCCCTCGGCCAAGTTAGTGTTAAGGTGGTTAGCCTTAACGCATGAGTTATGATCAATATAAATATGGAAGATAAGAAGGAATTTCGATTTTTCTTCAACCCCACTGTCTCACAACTGTGTTTTTTTAAACAATGAGTAGTTTTGCAAAAAGAGGAAAAAACAAAATCCTGCTGGTGTTGAGGAATTTTATGCATCAAATATTTGGCTGTAATATTTCCGATTTTAAAAACAAGAACACTAAGTAATAATGGTTTTTTTTTTCAGATCATATTTATACATTTAAAATCGTCCAAAATTTTAGTAGTTTATTTTCGATGTTTTTCGTCTTTCACTCAGACACAGAACCAGGCTCAGAATCTGCCTGATATTGCTACGGTCAGCATTCAACTGAGAGCCATTAGCTCCGTTGATAACTCACGAATGTCTCTGAGACACGACCACACACATTTTTCCTGAAATTTTGTTTTTGAGCAATCCGCGATCTACTTAGGCAGCAATAAATGAACCACAAAGGACTGTATTAATTTTAAAAACAACAAAAAATAAATGAACTCATACAAGTGGGATGAGTAAGGTGTCAGCATAAAAAACTGAAATAAGGTATTTGTCTCATTTGTTAGTCACAGGGCAGTGGTGGTATTACAATTAGCACATAGATAATACATCAAGTGTAAATAACAAGCCCACACATGTAACAACATTATGGTACACTTTTAATTTCATATTGTAGATGTTTGTAGAATCAAAGTAAAAATCATGGCAACAACAGAACAGTCATTCATGAAAAGACAAACACTCAGCCACACCTCCCCCCAGAGTCACCAAACAGGGAGGGGAAAACAATGTCTGTTGGTACAGCTACAATAGTTGCTTTGTTGACCCTCAATAAACACCTGACAACAGGTAGAAATATTGACCCTCCCACTCCAGAGCTGTAACTGTTTCCTTTTTAAAGGGACATAACTCTGTGAATCATTTAAGGTAGGTAATTCTGCATGAAAATATTACTAAAGAGTAATAACATTAAAACATCACTTCAACCGACAATTTTTATAAAGACAGAAATTTTAAACATTATGAATATATAGTAGAAACAGCCACCAATACCAAAGTTATGTAATTGTGAAATAAATTGGTCTGTAACTACAAATGAAACAACATGCATGACTGACTCGCACTCAGTATTTCTTTATTCTATTTTTAGATACATAAAACATTCAATTATTTTTATCATCATTTGCAAGTATCGCCTCAGTTTTAAATCAGCAATAAATGATCGACCACACAACATTTAGAACATCAAGAAATTTATAAAAACTGGTTGCCAGGTGCTGATTAACATCTAGAGGGGCAAGTACTCTTTCAGTCTGAATACAAGGGAGGTAAGATGGCAACTCAGTTGAGAAATTCATACAAGCATAAATAGTAGGTTAACACAGTTGCGGCCCCTAAAGAGAGAAGAATCAACATTGAGTTGAGATCCACACAAGACACCACAAGTAAAAATAGAGCAGGGTTGCAGCCCCTTAGCCAAGTCAACACTACATGGATAACATCAAGAAACCCTCATCACAACATTACAAGGGACTGGCACTTTAGTTCAATTTTCTAAGTTTTATCTTTTGTTCTCTTTAGCAGATAAATTATAAATAAGTTATAATTTAATGACCAGAAACATTGATAAAACTATATCTAAAAATAAACCAGACAGAAGTTGGACAAAAAAAATAATAGTCAAAACAAATATTCTTTTAAAGAAATAATGCACTATGGTTATCAGGGGAAATAAAATATTCATTCAGCTGGGTCACTCTACCAGTCATCAAAACAGACTGGTATGCTAGTATAGAGAAGAGACTGAAAGTTAAGCAAGTGTGGTCCTTACTTACACAACAAACTCTAGAAAAAACAGAAAGCTAAGTTAAGCATGTCTGGTCTTACAGAACAAAATCTACTTCTACACTGGCCAATTTCTGTAAGCTCATGTCAAGTATTTTTACTTTATTTTAAATGTAATGACATAATATTTTAGAAAAAACAATTTTCCCTTTAGTGAAGTAAGAAGTATATTTCAAACACAGATTGTCTTTATTTATATCAGTAGGAATAAAAACTATACAAAATAATCTTGAGGGGGGAAAATTTACAAAAAAATTGTATTATTTATGTAAACAAAAATCCTGTACCCTTAACTAAATGCAAAACTTGATTCAACTGTTTTGTCATGATTCGGCTAACATAGCCTTCAGATTCTTGTTTGTTTTCTCTCTCACATGATGAAGTAATGGGACACAAAACAGATGCCAGTAAAACACTAGTTTATGACACAAAAGACTTTTTGATTATATACAACCAAACAACTTGACAGCATGTTCTAAACTTAGTTCTCTCTGTATCTTATTCAAGTTGGTCAACACACTTCCCTGTATAGCAATAACTGACGTTAAATATCTCAAAGTTTTTTAAACTAAGGGAACCCTAAAAAAACATGAGATAAAACTGGATGACAGAACCCCCATTAAAATACCTCACATCAAACACTTATGCATAGGTAAACAAACCAGTGGGTTACTTCCCCTGCTGGCTACAGTAACAGAGCAAACCTACACAATTGTTACCAGAGCAACCACAAGAAAAAATAGTATCACAAAGTCTCCTCCCCCAGCTGATATATCCATTCAAATAAAATAGTCCAGGGATGGTTTCTATGACGCCCACATTTCTAATTCCTTCAAATCATCGTCCGCTTCCTTGGTGTGGGCTGAAAGAACATCAAGGAAAATACATTTGTTAATATATTGAACCTAACAGTTACATTAGTGTAACTGATTCTATGAAGACAGATGTGGCTTGCAAAATGTCATTTACATTCAGCAAACAAAAAGCTGAGTGAACTCAAGCTTCAGATCTGGATACCAGCCAGGAGCTTTTGTAGCCTTTCATAGGGACACTCTAACATTGTATGCTACAACATTAAGCAAGAATCAATTGCAAGAGAAATATTTTTACCAGCAATATATGTTTCTGAGTAAATAAGAAGAAGAATATTAATTCAAGATTTACTAAAATTCATCACAGTGCTTAATTAGTAATGTTTTGCCCACTAACTGTATAAAATGAATTACTTTATATGGTCCACTAAACATGACTATTTCTTAATGCAATTTAAAAACATTCAATAATTCAAAAATAAAGTAATAAAAAGTAAACACAGTATGAGTGTAATGCAGGCAATGAACGACTGTTATCATCCTTTCACACTAAAGATATCAGAGATGTAACTGAACCCTGGTAACATTTTTGGTGTCACAAAGGAGGGTGTATGGCTATATTTCCCCTAAACAAATTTATCATTTCCAGGTGAAAATTGGAAATTTCAATAAAATATTAGGGAGAAGTATTTAAATGAATTTTTTTTTAAATTCTTTATAGGGAAAAATTGGACACCAAAATAAAATATAAACAAGTAAATACAGAGTTAAAATGATTAACATCTCCCTCCCCTACCAATTACACCCATAACCACATTTCTCACTTATCACAAAATCAAACCATATCTCTTTACTAACAACTCAGTTCAACCTTTATCAACAAATTTATCTTTCTCCAGATTACATATCTCAACCCCCATCCCCAACTTTACCATAGCCTTACCCCATTATACCTCAGCCACTAGCAGGGCTGCCTGCCCCAAAAAATATTAATAAACTAAAGCAATTATAAGTAAATCCATTTTTTTCAACAAAAACAAAAGAAACACATATTGTAATTTGAACCTGGATTTCTCTCATAAGCTAGATACAAAATGTTTTCTTTTAAATACAAGGGATAAAATACTAATGGACAATGACGAAGATTTAATTTTTTAAAGTGAGCTAAAGAGCAACAGTTTGGGCATAATCTTAATATCACAGCCTACATGCTGAAATCATAAAATATTCTGTAAAAATTGTACAAGTAGGCACCCCTGCACTACCCACCTTTTGATGATGCAGCCGCAGGTCTCCGATCAACAGGTTCAGCAGTGGGGACACTGGGCAGGTCCTCTGTCCCACCAACCTCCAGCAGCTGTCTGTCCAGCTCCTCCTGCTCCAGCTCTTCCAGCTCTGCCAACAGGTCATCCTGCAGACACAACATTTCTTGACCAACCAGGACAATAGGTATTCACAAACAACTAAATCAACATCCATTTTTTTTTAAAACTATCTAGACTAAATTCAGATGAGCCAACAATTAATTTTGAATAATTAAAAATGAAGAATCTTACATCATCAAGATCTTGACCAAAGCCTACAGGATGTGAGATAGCTTCAGAAATTTCATTAGCAACGTCTTGTTGTTCTGCAACATCATCCATCAAATCATGCACCTTGTCGACATCCCTGGAAACAAAGGTAAGTAACAATCACACCTCCCATCATCTAATACAAATAGATCACATTACAAAAACAGGTACACTCACTCATCTGCTAGATTCGCACTGGAAACTTACAGATTGTTGAGAGCACCCTAAGACAGATTCACACTGGAAACTTACAGATTGTTGTGAACACCCTAAGACAGATTCACACTGGAAACTTACAGATTGTTGTGAGCACCCTAAGACAGATTCACACCATGAACTTACAGATTGTTGTGAACACCTTAAGACAGATTCACACTGGAAACTTACAGATTGTTGTGAGCACCCTAAGACAGATTCACACTGGAAACTTACAGATTGTTGTGAGCATCCTAAGACAGATTCACACTGGAAACTTACAGATTGTTGTGAGCACCCTAAGACAGATTCACACTGGAAACTTACAGATTGTTGTGAACACCCTAAGACAGATTCACACCATGAACTTACAGATTGTTGTGAGCACCCTACGACAGATTCGCACTGGAAACTTACAGATTGTTGTGAGCACCCTAAGACAGATTCACACTGGAAACTTACAGATTATTGTGAGCACCCTAAGACAGATTCACATCATGAACTTACAGATTGTTGTGAGCACCCTAAGACAGATTCACACCATGAACTTACAGATTGTTGTGAGCACCCTAAGACAGATTCACACCATGAACTTACAGATTGTTGTGAGGGCCCTAAGACAGATTCACACCATGAACTTACAGATTGTTGTGAGCACCCTAAGACAGATTCACACCATGAACTTACAGATTGTTGTGAGCACCCTTGAGTGCCTTAGCTGCCACACCCATGACGTTGAGGACTTCTGTGTTTGTGCTGGCATTCTCCAGAGCTTCACGCTGGAACTCTATAGTTGACAGTGTTCCATCTATCTGCTGCAGCTGTTTCTCATAGCGCTTCTTGCGTTTCAAAGCTTGAAGTGCAACTAAACAAAACAAATTACAGATTTTAATTTATATTCCTTCAATTATTATTAGTAGGTACTGCTGGTATAGTAATGAACATGGTTAGGATTTGGTTAATGTCTAGGGTCAGGAACATGCTCAATGTTAGGTTACATAGTAATTTTTATTTGTAGAAATAAACTTTGTCATTCTTTTCAGCTAATTAAATAATAATTTAATTAATCTATCATAAGGCAATTTTAAGATGATTTATTTTTACATGAATGATGAATGAACAGATGGCTAACTGGCCATAAGGCTAACGACCAAAATGTCTTGTTTGGCATGTCTATGTTTAATATTTAGATGTTGAATAGATTCAGCAAGACCAATAGTGTATTTCTTTTGGGACAAAACGATAACAAAGAATCAGGTATAAGTTTGGGCACAAAGGTTAGTTCCACTTTCCGCCCTTGCAATGAACGAACAACAAAAAGGATTACCACCTATACTAGCACAAACAAGAGTAGACTGAACCAAGTTTACAAGGTGTTTAGTAGATTGTTTGTTCTTTCTAGCCCAGGTCTAAGGCTATAAGTATAATTAGTAGGGCTATTAATAATTAATTAATAGGCCTTAGGCCTAAACACTATATTTTATGTAAGCCTATAGGCCAACTTACCCAAAGTTAGCCTACTTACTCACTGTATTGACTACAGTCTGGGGTATAGAGTGGATGATATTCGACATGACAAAATAGAGAGTAGAGAGTTATTGTCGTATTGATTAGTCAACTTCAGTTAGACTACTGTTAGGCTGTCACTGACTGACTGAACTGAGACAATCTTCTATTCTAAGTCTAGGCTAGGACTTACTCACTAACTTACTGACTAGGATTCTAGATTCTACTCTACTTTACTTCTAGCCTAGCAGTTGAAAGTTGAATCTAGAATTCTAGATCTAGAATCTAGATCTAGATCTAGTCGGAGACAAGATAACTAGCAAACACAGTAAAGTAAAAAAAAAAGAATATTTTAGAATATAGGCCTACTCAAATATACTGTACCTCTTTTATTTTTGGTTCCATTTTTTCTAGCAATAGCAATCTCAGCTTCTATTTTTTTCTCCAAAAAATCAGATTTTTTCATTAACATTTCTTCCACTTCTCGAAGTCTTTGTATACCTTCTTGTGGAGTTGGAGTTTTATCCTTTTTACCACCAGCTAATAGATTCTTGATAAAACTCATTTTAAAAATATTGCTAGAATAATTTCTAAGGAAAAGTTTAAATGCCTAGAGATTTCGATTTTTAGGTTTTCTGAATGTTTATCACTCTATGGTGACTCTGACTCAATAAGCAGGAAGTGTAAGTGAATAATAAAAACGATAAATATTCGTACCGAGACAAAGAGAATGTTTTTATTTGATTGGTCAAAATTTTGGCGAATATTTCCAGTTAGTTCCCTTGTTGGGTATTCGTGAGTTTTTTTCTTTCAAATGTTTGTAGGGCCTAACTTAAAATACTTTTATCTAAATTTATTATACTAATTCTACGCCCGAAAGTATTAAATTAGATTTTTACTGTAATAAGCCAACTAAGTTCTAGATTGTGTAGTCCCGTTAAATAAAAAGCAAAGCCTACACACTAATTTACAGTGCCTATACGACACTACTGACTACACTACACACACTGAATACACAATAGGCCCTAAAAGTAATAAGTAGAAATTAATGTCCATAACTGAAGAACTGTACCTAATTTTGTATAATAATAAGCGAATAAGATCTGTGTTTTATCGGTAACGGAATCTCTCAATAAAACAAATAAACTTGAAAAATATGTTGTCGTATTTGGGACTGATTCATAAGATATATTACGAAATATTTCTATTTTTAGGGTCTTGTTCAACCGAAGCCCGAGCTATTTTTAATTTTAACATCACAGATAATTTTGTTGATAGGAAACTGCTCCCTTCGTCTGGGAATGACGCCCCAATCACAGGGGAAGAGATTTGGAAAGTGTGACGTCATTTAATGTCATTTTTTTTATACGTTATTTTTAAACCATTTTTATTTTACCTTAATTTCGCATTTTAAAAAGCTTGATCGATGTAGGCCTACCCAGAACTAATTTTTACTCGAATTTCTAAACTCTTCACTATCAAATGGTGATACGAATGTATGGATCTAGATCAGTGTTTCTTTCAGACTTTTTTCTCCGGGGGGGGGGGGGGAGCACTTGATATTTTCGTGGAGGGGGAGGCGGCGGACTAAGTTTACCGGAGTGGGGGGGGGGGGGACACAGGTAAAAGTATATATTTCTTTATTACGTGAATTACATTGCGTTCCGGGGGGGGGGGGGGGGGGGGGGGGTCGGTAGACTTTCTTCGTGGGGGGGGGGGGGTAATGCCTGGGAAGATATGCCTGGAAGAAACTCTGATCTAAATTCAACATGTTTTGAGTAAAATCAACCTCTGCTAACTAACAAATCCTTACACGTATACAGGCATACTGTTTCTTCATCTATGGAATAGGTCTAGATCTATATCCTTTTATTAAATTAAAACACCTCCATCAATTCTTATATGGAGAAAAAAAGTGCTTAAGGAAACAAAAACAAAAACTTAGGTATTATATGTCCAATTAATTAGTTGACTTGTGTGAATATGCACTACAAAATCATAAAATAGCGTGACGTCGATTATTGATGGACTATAATTGTTTTTTTTTTTCTATTCTTAACATTCTGAACCAGCTAGAGGCGGATTTGGTCGCCAAACATGTAAACAATATAAAAATGCTACATCAATAATTTGTTGTTAAATCGGCTAGTCTAGATCAATAGCTGGCAACCAATTAAAATTACACAGTGGGCGGGGTCGTCTATGAATTATAATGTTGCATGGCTATGATGGAGGATGGGGTAAGATTTTCTGACGGGCGGGGGAGGGGGGATGTCTAAAGTACAATGAAACATTTTTTTTGTTCTGAAGACCATTTTTAAATGAAAAATCCTGTTAAATGTGTGCTTATTGTGTGCGACGTGATTTTAATGGATGTGTCTTGCTTTTCATGATGACGTTAAAGCTAAAATTGTGTGACGCCATTTATGACAGCCCCCCCCCCCCCAAACACACACAAACGTTAGTTTGCAAAATCCATTACACTGATCAAGATGAATCTAATTGTTAGAATCATCTGGTTTATTTTCCTATTCAATGAAAATTGATTCCCAGCATAATACTTGAGATCTTTTGTTTGTAAGTTGTGTTACTAAACCAGTAGATTGTTCTTAGACAAAATGTCCATGCTCTATTGAGACCTAGTATGCCCGTTAACAAAAGAGATTCCTCGATTCAGCGCATCAGGGCTGCACATGTTTCCTTTTTATTTTCCATTCGTTATCATTACTTCTTGGATGGTGTTACTTTGCTTGATAAAGTAATTACTTGCGATAATTTCTAAACATAATCCCACCAAACTTTACTGCGTGATATAAAAAAATATAATTTTACATCTTACCATCGTCATAAACTATCATCTTGTGTAAATGATCGGGAGAAAAAAAAATCTTTAAACTAAATTGGTAATTTAAGGTTCCAAAGTTATGTTGTTACTGTATAAACTGATCTAGAATGTAAAGACGTATATAGTAGTGAGCCATTCCTGCGCCCGGGGCGAACTATCAATTTTTTGCCCCCTCTCATTTTAATTATAATTATATTTATTCATGTTAGTGAAAAAGTCGACCCCCCCCCCCCCAGTTGAAAAGGTTGGTGACGTTTTTTACCAGCCACTACTTTTTTGCTTTGGTGCCACACTTTGACTATGTACAACTCAATACCTCAGCTTTCAATATTTTTCTACCCTTTTTTGGCGCCCCATTAGGGTCAGCGCCGCGGGCGGCAGCTCCACCCGCCCTCCCCTAGCTACGCCACTGATATAGGGTTTTAAAAAATTAATGGAACTCATGTGTTGCCGGTTCTACTGATATTGTCGTTTCAGTTTTAACAGTAGCTTGTCCCAGATAAAATAGGTAATCTCCGTCAGTGAAAGAAAAATGCCCGAATAGGTATTTTATTTACGATACTTAAAATAAATGAAAATGTTAATTCTGCTTGCTATCACGCGCACTGTGTTTGATAATAGGCGTGATCATAACATCTTGATTTTAATAAACTTGATTAGATTTAACTTGATCCTATTCCGTTAGTTGCTATTCGGTTTGAATAAGAAGATAGCCTGGTAGTCCTTTCTTTGCTGATGTATCGGACTACTGGCTACCCGAAAGCAAAACGTGAAGGTGTGGTGTTAGCCATTTTGCACTGCACCCTCTCAGGATAGTGTGCAAATGTGAAATCTTCCTTCTTCTGTTAATTCTATAACAGTCTAGCATTCTAATTGGCCTTAGTTCCGACTTCATATCTGGCAATCGCGTCACTAGATGAGAGAGGGGAGGGGGTGTGGACAACAAAGGGTGACACAATACAGGGGAAAGGGGGGGGGGGGTGACAATCAAACGAAATATACACAATTGTAATGAAAAAGTCTGATGTATTCCAGTTATTTTAATAACTTATCACAGTTACATACATCATTAAATATTAGACACAAGGTGATACCATCCAGATATGGGTGACACCAAATATCTTATTTATTATTTTTTTAGTCGGTGGTACAGTGGGGTGAGGCCCTGAATTCTTTCCGCATCGCTAGTCACCCGACTTAGTGACGCCACTAGTATCTGAATTCGGATTAATCTCATTGATTTTGGTGGCTTGTGTGTTCAATGACCATAAGAATAAGTTGTTAACTTATTCGGCCGTGAAAACTGATGAACCATCTGGGATTCTGAATTGTTTAATTTTTTTTTTGGTAATTAAATGAACATTGCAATATATGAGTGAATGCGTTCATTGATTGATAGAGTGAGCTTAAGTGTTCGGCAATTAGCTCGAGCTAACGTTTGTGTTCCCGATCTGTCACAAGCCGTTACTGCCAGCTTTCAAAGCACTTTAGTAACAGAAGAAAGTACTTCTAAAGTTAACAATGGTATGTTAATGGGGATTAAAGATTTTTGTACAATTACTTTTGTACTTTTTTTCACTGGACCGACATAAACATCCGACTACAGTATATATATATATATATATATATATATATATATATATATATATATATATATATATATATATATATATATATATATATATATATATATATATAATCCGGTTAATGGCTGTTATTAATAATGAACGAAACATTGAAAACTAAAACTTGACAAGCTTAATGAATTAAAAATGTGTTAATTACAAAACAAAGACACACGTAGTTCTAATGCTACATGCTATGTACGAGATCACCGGTTTTAATATTTGATGTCAAAAGATAGACGTCATGTTATATTGACATGTTCCTTTGTTGACATCATGTTATATTGACATATTCCTTTGTTGACGTCATGTTAAATTGGCACGTTCCTTTGTTGACGTCATGTTATATTGACATATTTCTTTGTTGACGTCATGTTAAATTGGCACGTTCCTTTGTTGACGTCATGTTAAATTGGCACATTCCATTCTTTTATACACGTCAAGGCGAACATTATTTTAGCCGGAGGCTGGTCTAGAGGTATGTACGGTTGTATTGAGTGTGTTCCCGTGTATAACGATTGTATTGAATGTGTTCCCGTGTATTACGGTTGTATTGAGTGTTCCCATGTTTATTCAACCAATGCCAGCTATCCCAACTGTGCCGGACTTTTGAGTGGGCTAACTTGACAAACACCGAAGGTCCAACTTGTCCGTTATCAAAAGTTCCGCCACAGAAGTTAAGCCCATAACGACATATCATTAAAAAATGTCATAAGGATTCTCATCCTTCTCGTACCTGGACCAAACCGACTCAGCGGCTGTGATGTTGACGCTGTCCAGCACCCACAACTGTGTGATGAGCGTAGCGTCACATCTGTTCATGTGGACGGTATTCGTACCGGTATCGTACTGCAAGCATAATCGAGTATTGAAGCTAGCAATCTGCCCAGTGGTGGGGTTCCACGCAAAACGCTGCGTCGGTTTTTCCTCGATGTCTACGCATGGGCGCATGTCAATGACGTCATTTTTAGAGTTGGTAAAGCACTGTAACGTCACGCCCTGTATGCGCGCCCGCCAATCAAATTCATGGACGGTGAGGCTGGAACAGTTTGATAGAGTCAAGTAGGTGCCAGTGCTGTTGATGCACTGGGAATTCCACGCCAGTCTGATGTCTCCAACTGCTAAAGATGGCGGCGGGTTGGCGGGGTAGTGACGTAGAACATCCGGTGCGACTTTGTGCATGTACCAATTAAAACTCTTACATCGAAGTCGGTGACGTACGTCGTGTTGTTGCGTTAGGTCGCCTGGATCTAAACTGCTCTTTATGTTTCTGGCGCGCATGACTGCCTGCTTGTACTCATCCATCCAGACCGATGCCACGCGCAGAAAATTTTTCTCGATGATGTCATCGGCGTACAAGTCTTGAAAGTACGGCAGGGGCCGGAATAAATGCGCCACCCGGGAACAGGGGGCGTCAACCAGCCGCCCCCCGCACATCCACGTCTTGAAAGACATCTCGAAATTCTCCCCGCCCCAGATCTGCAGCCCCGGGTCATACTGACCCAGCTCCTCCCACCATTTTCTAGTGATGGCAAAAGCGCATCCGACCATGACGGGGGTTGCCAATGGCGACGTCCCAACAGCCTCTGAAGATGGGATACTTTTGTACTGCATCCTCCAATTAAACCCGCCACGTGTTCGGACTTTCTGAGCTTTGACCTGAAAGGTCTCTGGGTCTATGGAGTCCACTATTGGACACACAATCGTCTTATAATTAACTAGCATGGGCTCTAATAACGGAGGCAGGTAATTGTAATTAACTTCAACGTGTGAGTCTAGGAAAACAAGAAAACTGCCCGTTGTGACGTCAGCACCATACATCCGGGCCCTGATTAACCCCGAACGCTGACGAAGACGTAGAATCTTCACTTTGGGAAAATGTTGGCTGACGTAGTCATCGAGCGGTTTCTTGAGCTCTACGTCACTGCTTGCGTCATCCACGAGCACGAGTTCCCGGATTAAGATGGCGGGCGACCTTGACATGACGCTATGAACCGTTCTCAGCACGGTCGACAACCTCTCGTTGTAAAACACGGAGATGATGCTGACAGAGTTGCGGGGAATGTCCGCGAGAAACTTTTGTTTCTTGCAGACGTCGGATCGTGCATCTTCCAGAGATCGCTTTACAGATATGACGTCACTGAGTCTGGCATTATACATGTACAGTTTTGTCAGCTCCGACTGTTGGTTGTGGTCGTCCAACACACTCGCGTTAACTCCCCTCCCGCCCTCGCCAAAACCTTTCCTTCCCCTTTCCTTCAGCATGAGCATGTAATCATTCCAGTCTCTGTATCTACTCTTCACACCTGATGAAATGTTACCTCCCTTGATTGGGTGTATCTGTGATTCTGTCCCTTGAATACGTAAAGTCTTGCGTTGCTTTGCTTGTCTAATATAAGGCACTGTTGGTGTGATGATGACATCTTGATGTGGGTAGACTCGACTCTCTGGAGGCTGGTTATTTTGATCCGAGTTCAATACTGCTGATGGCATCTGTAAAACAATAATAAATTAGTTTCATAGCAATTTCAGCGAATTTACAATATAATAATTAGCTGTGATGTAATGTGATGGTCTTAAGCAGTTAAAATAAAATTAGTTAAGTATACAAAAAAAATTGTAAACGTTCTATTTCTTCTTCTTCGTTCTTAAATTCTAGTATTAATTAAGTATATGTGTCAACTGGTTATGCCCCATTGAGGCCATTGACTCCGATTTCAGCCTGTTTTTCTTTTTGGCTGCTTCCACAGCCTTTGTCCAACCAAGAACAAACTACAAGACAGCAGTTGTTTGATTTTGGAGTTGTTTCTCCTAGATGAGTGGCTGTCCCCAGCTAACGTGCCTCATCTGCCCGAGGTTTCGAACTCGAGACTTTTCGGTTTAGCAACCATGAGCTTTACCACGCCGAGGGATAATCTTCACTGTTTAACACATTCAAAAATAGTTTCCAATAACTAAAGCGATTGTTTTAGTCTCTTGTGGCACTTCACTTTCTACATTAGAAATTTGCATTTTATATATATGTTCAATAGGAAGAAGTAACGTATAATCAAAGACCCATTATATATATATATATATATATATATATATATATATATATATATATATATATATATATATATATATATATATATATATATATATATATGTATGTGTGTGTGTGTGTGTGTGTGTGTGTGTGTGTGTGTGTGTGTTTGCGTGTTTGTATTTGTGTATAGTTAAGTATCAAAATGACCAATATGTCAAAATCACAAAACAATTTATGCACAATAAAATGACCTCCCAACTACAGTCATAATTTACACAGCACAAACACAAATACGCCTAGCGATGGTCACTCCGTCCCTGAATTAATCAATACAATTAATTAATTAATATCAGGATTACCTGCTCGCTGTCTTCCACAAACACGACCAAATACAGAATTAAAAAGTTCAGAAACAGCGTCAGCATAAGCAGCATGTATTTTTTCATTCTAAATGGCATTATCGCCCCTAGTTAACTAAGTCTTCAGGAACGATAACTCGCTGCTATATTATTAAAGTTGCATGAAAAAAAATCTTAACAACTATAAAATCGCACTCTTAAAAAATAAATTTACTCCACACTGTACGAATGTTGTGAACAAAATGTCCTTTATTTGCGCGTGCTTTCTGTTTCGCCAACATATTGAATAATGTGAGCTAACATTATGCGCGGCAACGATTTCCAATGAAATAGTTTACCAACAATACACCGTGTAAGGCTAAACACGGGGAATCTCTTTCTGTGGGCACAATGGGTTGTCAGATTGATGCAACATTTCGTGCCACATCTGTCTGATGTGTGAGCTTTTGACATACCACAACTGTGAGGGCATCTGTGTGATGGCTTGTCGGTCGTTGGACGGGACCTGACAGAAAGTGGAGTAGCTTGCATTGAATCGCTGCACGTCATCCGACACGCTCTCGGGGAAAAAAAAACAACATGAGTGGGATCTTATGAATGGAGGCTTGTCATTCGGTGTGACATCTGGGCCACATCTAAGTTAGGTCATGTGACTGATGTGGCATATGAAATTGTGTCAGAGACTGCTCAGCTGACTTTTTCTGCACACTACTGCCGCTCTATTTATCTACACATACATCATACATACACACATACTCCTAATATATATATATATATATATATATATATATATATATATATATATATATATATATATATATATATATATATTTATTTATTTATTTATTTATTTATTTATATATATAAAAAGAGATAGAGAGAGCGGGGTAGGAAGAGAGAGAAAGTAATTGAAGTAACCAAGGTTCTAATGTTGTTATGCAAGGTATACAATTTATTTGATTTAGTTAAGAATTTGGTTTAGCTTATGTCCACTGGCAGGTTTGAACGAGATTTTCTGCAGACACGTGTGACGTGTAGACAGCCGTCTTCACAGGTCAGGTCAATGCTCCCCTGGTCAAAGCTGAGCGAACCTACTAGAAATCACGTGACGATCTGACGCACGCACTAGCTCTTTTATGTATGTGGATCTATTTCCTTTCTCGTCCTCCATATGTGACAGCACCCCTCTTCACCACCCTACATATGTGACAGCCCCCCACTCACGAACCTACATATGTAACAACCCCCCCCCCAACCCACCACCCTACATCATCTCACCACCCAACATATGTGACAGCCCCCCCCTCTCACCTCACCACCAACCAACATATTTGACATCCCCCCCACCTAACCACCCTACATATGAGAAAGCCCACCCCACCTCACCATCCTCGTATGTGACAGCCTCTCAACTTCCTCACCCTCCATATGTATGTGCCCCCCCCCCCCCCCCCACTATTCTCTCTTGTGATAACCTCACATCCTCGACAATAAACCAACACCAACAATGTTCATAGATTTATGTAGCTGAATCATTTGAAAGAAAATCTCCATGTTAGCAGCTGAAGGCAAGGAGACCTCCCCAAACGATTAGAGCTAATGTATTCAGCGATCTATAATGGGCAGTAACTGGTAGGGCGGTCGGCGAGCCTTTCAGATGTAGACTTAAGAGATTAATGAAGAATAGTTGACCACAACAGCTGGCGAGGATGAATACAATTATTTTATTTGCTCAAAGTTTAGACGCTATTTCAAACTAGTAAACAATGTAGGGTGTGTAGGCTTTCAGATGTAGTGTTGTTGTGGTGACTAGCGTGCGTGATCAAAATACACATCTTCGTTGTATATATATATATATATATATATATATATATATATATATATATATATATATATATATATATATATATATATATGTGTGTGTGTGTGTGTGTGTGTGTGTGTGTGTGTGTATACATAAATAAAATTGTTATATATGTGTGCATATACATAGATCTTTGTTGTTGTAAATATAGTATATATATATATATATATATATATATATATATATATATATATATATATATATATATAAATGTGTATTTGCCTTTTATGCATTACTGCACAATCCATCTATGATAGTTCACTCCCGCGTAGGTTTCTGTCAATAAAAAAAAATAATGGAGGATCCGCCTCCGAGTATTCCTGCGGCTACCTCAGTACCTAGGGTTCGCTCATTAGCGGTCCTTGTAATGTGGAGCGCCCCCTTCTGCACAATGACGCCGACATTTGTATCAAGCAGCGCCCTACACTAGGGATACAGTGGGCTACTACGATTGATGAGTAAAGCCGAGAGATCTCCTACCTTTTATTGCGGTGGGTCATCAGCGTACACTCAAAGTTTACACATCACACCCAGGACAAACCCGCACTCTAACAACGTGTCTAAGGGGCTGGATGTCCGGTGGGGGGAATTAACGTAGGGATGCCATGCTCAGTCCAACAACTTAGATCAAAGAAATGTTCAGCCGGCTTTATACTTGAGCAACTCTGGCAAAAGTAATTTGTTGGACGTGTGTTCTAATCGATAGAAAACTCTACATCTGGTATCTAGGAGAAGCTGATAAAACAAACTGATACCCAGGGCTGATAGTGGAGCGCCGGCTGTGGATCATTGCTTGACAACCTTCGACGGATTGTAGCTGAACAAGCCTACTGAACAAGCCTACTGAACAAGCCTACTGAACAAGCCTACTGAACAAGCCTACTGAACAAGGCTAGTAAATGACGTTCATTTCGTATGAGATCACAGCACTGCGCGATAGGTAAACGATTTTTTTTAAAAAGTAATTTCCTATTTGGTGTAGCACTTACCCTGGCAATAAACCCCTTACTATACCAGTTAAACCCTAAGTTGACCCTAAATAACTCTAATCAATACTAAACCTAGATGTGTCTATAAACCCCTTACTATACCAGTTAAATCCTGGGTTGACCCTAACTCTAACCAATACTGAACCTAGATGTGTCTATAAACCCCTCACTATACCAGTTAAATCCTGGGTTGACCCTAACTCTAACCAATAATGAACTTAGATATGTCTATCAACCCCCTTACTATACCAATGAAATCCTAAGTTGACCCTAAATAACTCTAATCAATACTGAACCTAGATGGGTCTATAAACACATCTGGACTGAATAAGAGACACTGGTACAAAATGAAACTCGATACATACTCTTACAAAACTAACGTCGTTTTTATGAAAGTGTATAGAATTACATCCTTGTGTGTGTAAAACTTAGATACTCATTATCGGCGAGGGTATGAATAAATTACCGATTGTATGTCACCCTATCGCGGTATCGTTTACAGCAAAATAACAAAGAAACATTTTGTTATCAACCCTTATCTTAAAGGCTACATCGTGATATAACTTTTTCACCTACCCCACCTGAATTATGGCGTCATTTATAGAAAACCACGAATTTTTCAGTGGATTAGTAAATAAAAATTAAATAGGAAAAAAATAAAGTCAGGAAAATGAACTCTTGCAAACATGAGCAGCTCAAAGTTTTAATATGGTTACCTCTCTTGGCTTACTAAATTGCGAATAAAATTTAAATTCCCTTATTGTATTATAACTTTTCATTAGCTGGAAATCAGAGCATAGCTGAGGCGTAGCTAGTTATGTTAGTGCTAATTAAGAGCGAATTGAATGGAAAGATAACATGGTTCTAATTGTTTCCAAAAATATAAATATCGACATATTAATTATTTTTTTTATCTGAACTACTCATTTTCCTCGTGTATTCGTGTGTAACAACAGCTGTTAGTATACTGTACTGACTGTCAGTTTTTTTTTCATCCTTGTTCCTCAATGGGGGGGGGGGGCGCCCCAGGCGCCAAACGGAGTAGAAAAAAAGCTCTTACAGTCAGTTTTAAACAATAGACTGCACATGGTTTTACTGACTTATTTAACTGTTTTCTACAACTATTGTGTGATACTAAAATAAAAAACGGTCGAGAGGGAGGGCGGGGGCGCTTTTTAGTCAACGTGTTTAACTTTTTATAAATGGGGGCTGGGGCGCAAAAGTTAATGGTTGGGCCCCAGCGCCGGAATGGGTCGTTACGCCTTTGAAGCCTAGACTGTTGATGCATGTCTACAGCATAAACTTTACGTCTCATCTAAATGGTCTTGGAGACGGAGGCTTACAAAAATATGTCGAACTGTGACGTTTTGTGTGTTTTCCATATGTGTGTTTATGTATTTATAATAACCGTCTGTTGTTGAACTATTATGCATTCAATAAATCAGCTTAAAAGCAGTTGTTTACCCATAACATATGTCTTGATGAAATAAACAACGCACTGCTACTTATTTTTACAGTCAAAAGCAACGTTCCGCTATCCGTGCTTCTATCAATAACTTAATGATGCTCTTGTCTATTACATCATCGTCTTTTCACCACGACTTTTTCTTACTAAAAGTAATCAATCACAACGAACAATATCAATTCCCACATACACTCAAATCCTTTCTTACTGTAATCTGTAATTATTAGCTAACCCCTTAGACGTCCTTAATCAACTGTCTTTATCCTGTTGGGCTTTTAATCCGCGAACTTGTTTACAGATGTACCCATCATGAGTACTTTTAAATTACCATAACCAGTGGCGTAGCGACCCTTCCCGGCGCCCGGGGACAAACTTTCAATTTGGCGCGCCCCACGGGATCAACCTTTCAATTTCCGATTCGCACCCCCTCTCCCCCCCCCCATATATGTTTTTATATTTATAAAGCAAAAAATGCAGCTAAAATGAGATTTTAATTTGCTTTTCCAACCCCTAAGGTCGGCGCCCGGGGACATATGTACCCCATTGCCCCCCCCCCCCCCCCTTCGCTACGCCTCTGACCATAATCCCATTTGTGATTAGAAAAGTAATGTACAGGGCAGATAGCCAGGATGGACTAATAGATGCTGCTGCTCTACTGCGACTGATTGGGTCCGTCTTTAGCTTTATTTGCGACTAGCTAACTACAGTCCTTTAGTAGGCCCATCAAGCACCGTCCTTAAATGAGGAGTAGTTTACTAGCTTTTACCTGGGTCAGTGAGTG